TTTTTTTTTTTTTTTTTGAGACAGGGTCTTGCTCTGTTGCTCAGGCTGGATTGCAGTGGTACTATCATAGCTGTGGCCTTGAACTCCCAGGCTCAAGTGATCCTCTCGCCTCAGCCTCCCAGGTAGCTGGAACTAAAGGCATGTGCCACCATGCCTGGCCTTTTTTTTTTTTTTTTTTCCATTTTTTTGTACAGACCCAGTCTTCCTATGTTGCCCAGACTGGTCTGAAACTCCTGGGCTCAAGTAGTCTTCCCACCTTGACCTCCCAAAAGTGCTGGGATTACAGACATGATCCACTGATACCCAACACTAACCTGGCTAAGGTCACCCAGACTGTAGAGAGGTAGAGCTGGGACAATGGCCTTTATCTGACTCCAGCATCCTCAGGTTTTCCTCCTTTATCTGTAGAATGTGGATAAGATGACCAAGAACACATCCTAGAGGGCATGATAGCCAGGACAGGACTGTTCTAGGAACACACACGAGGCGTGTTAGGGAAGACTCAGAGAGATGAGAACCAGGAAAGACCGCTGTGGCTGAGATCTAGTCTGTATCCTAGAGTGTTTTATGTACTTCTGAAGTATTTTTTCACCAGTACTTAATAGCAACTCTTAGATCAAGCATTAGCTCCAGAGGAGTAAAAATCAGATTCCACAGATTTATACTAATGTACCTAACACAGGTGGTAATGGCTTTTTTAAAAAAACAGTCCAGGCCGGGCGCGGTGGTTCACGCCTGTAATCCCAGCGCTTTGGGAGGCCGTGGTGGGCGGACCACGAGGTCAGGAGTTCGAGACCAGCCTGGCCAACATGGTGAAACCCTGTCTCTACTAAAAACACAAAATTAGCCAGGCATGGTGGCAGGTGCCTGTAATCCCAGCTACTCAAAGAAGACTGAGGCAGGAGAATCCCTTGAACCCAGGAGGCAGAGATTGCAGTAAGCTGAGACTGCACCACTGCACTCCAGCCCAGGCAACGGAGCGAGACTCCGTCTCAAAAAAGTCCAAACACACCAGGGGTTAAATAAGCTGCTTCTCTTTCCACTGTTTATTATTAATGTACAAAATATACAAAACCAAAAAAAAAAAAAAAATACTCATCCTCAAATCCATTTTGGCTCTAACCCAAGACCCTGCACAAAACCCAACCAATCCACTGTTTTCATAGAAAACAACTGATGCCAAGGTGAAGGAGAGAACTGGGAAAGGGCAAAATCATCTTGTCGAATCCACCCAGGAAGGCACCTGGTGGGGATTCAGAGGTGGCTGACAGGGTGAAGTAGCTGAAAGCCTCCTTCACACTGGCAAGGTTCCAGGTGGGGGCAGGGAGTGAGCTAACTCCCCAAGGCAGTGCATGTAGTGTGACTTTCAGGCCCAGCATGCCAGGCCCAAGTTGATGAGAAGCTGGTCTCACTGAAGTATTTTATCAAGTCTCCAGACTGGCTGTAGTTGGCAAAGGCACACCAGCACCACTGGCCTCACCTTTGCCAGCTAAAACTTGCACCGGATGCAGATATGAGTTCACCATCATCAAACCTAGCAGACCCAGGACACAGACTGGGTGTTCACAGACAGTTCAAGGTCCCACTTGAGAAAGGACTCAGAATGGAGAGGCCACGCTGGGGGAGGAGTGGGGATGATGTGTGTTCCAGAACTCAAATCCAGCTGATTGAGCCCTCTCAGTGCAGTGGGATACACAATACCCCTTCACCATCTCCCCACCCCATGAGGAATAATGAACTGAGCTGGGATGATTTCTTAAGTGCAGCTGATCCTGTGTCAGAGTTCTGTGTGCATGTGGGGACCCGCAATAGAAGGGTAGGGGTGTTCTCCAGGATAACCAGCTTTAGGTTCTCAAGCATTAAGGGTAATACTGGAAAGGGGTTTGGGGTACAGGGTGAATCTTCTCAAAAAGTGAAGCCAACTGGGTCTCCTCTTCAGCAGTCCAGGAACGTTTCCAGTCTCTCTCCTCCCCAGACTGGAGGAAAATATGTACATCAATGCGCACCAGTGATCAGAAAACCCCCAGGAACCCAAGCAAGTGGGAACTGAGGGGGCCGGCTCCTCATCAGCTGGGGAAAAGGGAAAATGGGCCTCACAGAAGCCATAACAGGGTAGAAGGAGCGAGGCTGCAGTCCACAGGGGTTGTGTGAACGGGGCAGGCAAATGGTCCCTAGGGCAGTGGGGGCCCATTGACACCCGGGTGGTAGAAGGCACAGTTGTTCTCATAGCGGCAGTTGCCCTTCATCATGAAATGTCGGCAGACAGGGCGGTTTGACATGTCTGTGGGAATGATGGCAGAACAGTTAGACAAGAAATGGCTGAGGGCAATGCCACCCTCACCACCCCAGTCCATTGCATCCTAAGAACTTTCAGAGACACAGTCTTAGGGATTTGGGGGAAGGGCACAGAGTAGGAACTGCTATGCATACTGGGACATCAAAGAGACGGGTACCTCACGTTCTGCCTAGCTACCAACAGTAGTGACTCTCACCCACTCCCCAAAAGCTTGTATGGGACACCAAAAGGCATATGGGGGACAGGGAGCATCCTCACCTCCTCCATGGCTGTGGCCTCCATCGTGCCCTCGGTGGCCCCCTCCCCCGTGGCCAGGGCCATCATGGCCACGGTGCTCATGAGGTGGTCCTCGATGGTCATGGCCTCGGTGACCAGGAACATCATGAGGCCGGTGGCCATGGGGCCCCCCGTGTCCAGGGCCTTCATGGGGACGATGTCCACCACTTCCACCCATGCTTCCACCAGGGCCTTCGTGGGGGCGATGTCCACCACCAGCACCCATTCCTCCACCAGGGCCTTCATGGGGACGATGGCCACTGCCACCACTGATGCCACCACCAGGGCCTTCGTGGGGACGATGTCCTCCACCCCCACCCATGCTACCACCAGGGCCTTCATGGGGGCGATGCCCACTGCCCATGCCACTGCCAGGGCCTTCGTGGGGACGATGTCCACTGCTGTTGCCCATGCCTCCACCAGGACCTTCATGGGGACGATGCCCACCACCTCCAACCATGCCCCCACCAGGGCCCCCTCGTCCATTTGGGGGTCCTCCTCCAGAGCGACCTCCTCTGGCGCCTCGGAATGGAGGAGGAGGAGGAGGAGGAGGTTCGTTTCCTCCTCGGCCACCTCGGCCTCTATGGTATGGTCCAGGACCAGGTCCTGGACCCCCCCGCATTGGGCCACCCCGCATAGGGTCGCCCGGGCCATCCCAGAAGGGATCACCCCCCCGGGGAGGGGGTGGAGGACCCAGGAGACGTGGACCCACTGGCCCACCAGGGCCTCCATGGGGACCTGTACGGGGAGAAAAAAGAGAAAACAGTATCAGCTACCAGGAACTGCCATCTCCCAACCTAAACCACCTCACCTCCCACCTTCCAGTCAATCCTATACTATTATCAGACTGAAATTAAGCAGATAAGCCCATTCCAACCTTGTACTCACCACCTACCTGGCATAGGTCCCCCAGGTCCAGGGGGAAAGTGCTGCATGCCCTTGGGGCCCCCAGGACCCCCTGGTGGGAAACCATTGGCTATCGGGCCAGGGCCTAGGAGTCCATGTGGCACTGTTAATGAAAACAAGGATAACACAGCATGAGCACTCTAGAAGACAGGCATGGTTTCCCATTTAGATGCACCCAACTGACCCTCTCAAACCAACCTAGCAGAGCAATGCTCTCTCTGTCCAGTCTTTCCCTCCCATTTCTTGCCTAGTGTCCACAGCCCTGTACTCTTCTGCATCTGTGAAACCCTGCTTCCCCCAACTCCACTGCAGGCTTCCTCCCCCAGTCCCCTGGGGCTGGCCCTGAGGATTACCCAGCATCTGCTTGATCTTGTCTGAATAGTCTGGTTGTTTCAGTAGTTCCTCTGAAGGATGACTGTTTGGGCTACCCTGTGAGGATGTAAGAAGGCAAAGTAAACAGACAGGGTAACAACCATGGCGAAAGGGAGAGCCAAAGATTAGGGTAAGTGGGTAGATGTGGAGAACTGGGGTAAGGTGAATGGGAGACAGAGTGAGGAGACAGCACTTAAGGAGGCTCCACAGAAGGTGGAAAAGGGGAAAGAGGGCGCATACCATGATGGAAGTGAGGATCTCCTGGACATTAATGCCTCCTCCTCCAGGGCCTTGGGGGCCCTTTCCAGCACCCATGCTTCCCATAAGATTGGCCAGAACTGGAGGCAACTTGGAGCCTCCTGCCCCATCAGGTGAGCCACCTGACCCCCCAGGTTCCAGGGTCTCAACATACGGAGTCTCATCCATGGAACACTCCTGAAAGAACAAAAAAATTAGGACTGACAGAACAGAGACATTCTCACATGAAAGATGCACTGAATTCAATGACCATCACAACTTCCATCATCACATAACACTGACTTACCTCATCTAGGGGGATGAGTTTAGGGGGTATGGGCTCGTAGGGCTCAGGATCAGGCTCATGAGGACTATCAGGAACAGCACAGGTGAGGGAAAATAGTAGAATGATAGTCAAGTTATTAATTCAGGCCCTGAAAGTAATTTCTAACCTCCACCCCTTAATTACCCCAGCTCACGTTCCCCTCAGGAGTGTCCAAGCACTCAACATCCCAGGGCAGGAATCCCACTCTGCTCACCTCTCCTTGTTCAGGAAGAGCTCCTGAAGGATTCCCTTCTCCCGCTCAGCCTGGATATATCGCTCCTGGCTATTGCTTCCAGGGGTGACAAGCGGTGACGGCAGAACCAGGGGCCGGGGGCACACCCAGGGCACCTTCTCCTCCATGTTATCATGGCTCAGACGCCGCGCTGTCTCAAATGCATGTCGGTCTGACAGTATCTCTCGCTTAGCTGCCTCACCAAAGTCCTTGATCTTATTCACATTTACTATCGGCAGAGGAAGAAAAGCAAGAGGGAAAGTAAGCACAACCAAGTTCTTTTAAAATCCCTTAAACACACCTATTACATAGGAAATGACCTCTTACCTCGTTCAGTTTCATCCAATTCAAAATAGAAATATTCTCTCAGTTTGCCTTCCTCAGGCCACGTCACACTTTTCCTCTTCCTGCCTTTCCGGGTCAGCTGGTTAGGATCTCCAGGACTCTCCACTGGCTTGGCATCCAAAGCTCCTGGCTCCAAAGAGGCTGGAAGCAGAAGAGGTTTCAGACCCAGATCCCTCCTTTCAGAAAACCCCCAAACTGAACCAGTTTCTAGATTACCTGTATCCATGAGCTCTGGGACTTCAACAGGGGGAACCGGGGTGCCTGGACGGTCTATGTCCATTGCCTCAGACGGCGGTGCTGGTTCTGGGGAAGAAGGTTTGGCTGTGCTTGGTTCTGTGCTCGTTTTCCCTTCAAAGGGGCTCGGCTATTGTGAAAGAAAAGGCAGTGAACTGACTGGAAAGCCAAGGGCAAGGCAATTAGTCCAGGGTCCCAGGCACAATCCCCCAACAGTTCCTATATAAAGGAAGACTCTGTCTCCACACTGGTCTCACCTGCACCAGTCTATATCCAAGGCGAAACGCCTCTTGTCCTCCCGGACAACTCCTAGCTGCTGTGCCCTTTCTTCTACTTTACCTTTTATACTCTCACTGAAACCTACTTTTGGGAGCCCATACCTTGGCAGCTGTAGGTGACAGCACTTTTTTCTTCTTCTTAATTTTGATGCCTGGAACAGGGGCTGAATTGAGAGCATCCAGAAAGCCCAGGCCCTCCATAGCTACAAAAAGAAAGAGCATCAAATGGCATCATCAGACCCCTTCACAATCCTACACCTGCACACACAGTCTAGGCATAAAACGAGCCAATGAAGAGCCTGCCTCAACTTAGGACACGACAAGCTCAAGACGACCAGGAAGCACATGCAGGAGGATTCACACACGATATTCTTCTTGTTATTCTAGGTTTCTTGTGGCAGGCAAGCCATAGCTTTGGATGTGAATTATAGCTCAGGTAACTGATGAAGTGAGCCCCTGTGAACATGACAAATCACCTTGCCAGGCGCCCCTGACCAGTCACAAAATGGCACACCTCCCTATCTTATCTCTAAAATTACTCCTAAGTAACACCGGAAACGGGAGTTCCAGAGGTACAAAAAGTAAAGGGTACCAAGAAATCAAAGGAAAATGGAGAGAAATAATAAAAGAGAAGGGAAAAAAACTTCTCGTTCCCAGAGACATTCGTTCCCATAAGAGTTTGCTCCTGGCCAGGCACGGTGGCTCACGCCTGTAATCTTAGCACTTTGGGAAGCCGAAGTGGGTGGATCATGAGGTCAGGAGATTGAAACAACCCGGCCAACATGGTGAAACCCCATCGCTACTAAAAATACAAAAAATTAGCCAGGCATGGTGGCGGGCGCCTGTAGTCCCAGCTACTCGGGAGGCTGAGGCAGGAGAATGGCATGGACCCGGGAGGCGGAGCTTGCAGTGAGCCACGATCGTGCCACTGCACTCCAGCCTGGGCAACAGAACGAGACTGTCTCAAAAAAAAAAAAAAAAGACTTTGCTCCTAATTCAAAGTACATCTCCCCACTTTAGACTCACGCTGTGGCGGAATGATCTTCACTTTGATCTCTTTGGTGGCATTAGGTGTTGTGTTGAGTGGCTTGTATTTCTTTTCTGCAGGGGGGGTAGCATCTCCTGGAGCAGCTACGTTGCTGTCAGAAGAGGAACTGTCATCAACATCTCTGACTCACCCCCTCTTGCTCCCTTGTGTCCACAGATCCACCCCATTCAGAACCTGAGAATATGGTCCATACCTCTGACGTTTGAGGGGGATAGGTTTAAGATTGTACTTGTCAGAAACCACCACTGTGCTGGCGTTCTTCTTCACAGGCACCAAGGATGGTGTCTCCAGCTCTAGTCCTGGGGAAAGAAGCACGGTGTGGGCAGCTGAACTCAAACCCCTAAACCCCTGAATTTTCCTCCCGTTCTCACCCGCAAATGTTCTTCTAACCTTGTAACCAAAGCTTCCTCCGCTAATCTTCTCTTTTCCTTACGATTAACATATCACACATCAAATGATTCCCCCATAAGGCTCTGGGTGTGCACATGCACATGAACCCTCCAGAGGCCAGCCGCCAGTCTTACCAGTGGAACGGAACTTGGCATGACTGGGTGCTGTGGTTCGAAGAGACTTGGGCTTCTCCCTCTTCTTCTCTGGGGCCTCCTCGGCCCGGGTCTCAGCCTTCACCTCTGTCAAAGGTCGCTCAGGAGGAGTAGTTCGACTTTTCCCCTCATCTTTACGTTTCTTCTTATCTTTCTCTGTCATGAAAAAACAAAGCAGAAATGGATTTTATTTAAACACTGTCAGAGGTGAAGCAGACTGGGAGTACCTAAAGGCCACATCCCAGTAGGAAAGAAATAAATACAAAGGATAAAGGACTAAGGAGCTTACCAGCGGGCTGAGTACTGCTCTGAGAGCGGATGACAGCCATCCAGTCGCTGACAAGGACTGAGGCCAATTTCCGGAGCTCTGCAGGTGAGAGAAAGGGGAAATGCCTAATAATGTAAAATATTCTTCCAGGAACAGAAAATGGGAGGTTTGAGAAAATATTGTGAAAATCTATGTAATGGAGAAAGTAATCCAAAGTTTTAAGAAGAACATGAGATATGCTTAAAAACCAAACTCTTAAAAAATGGAACAATGAATTAAGAGTTGTGTTCTACTCAAATAACTTTCAACTCTGATGTCATCACACCACTCTGGAGTAAAAAGACCTAATATTTATTTCAGAATATGTGGTTAAAATCTTCATTAGTAAAAGACTACACACTGGGTGCCGTGTACACTGCTCGGGTGATGAGTGTACCAAAATCTCAGAAATCGCCATTAAAGAACTTATACATGTAACCAAAATCCACCAGTTCCTCAAAAACTACTGACACTTTTTTAAAAAGCTACATTAGTTGCTTCACGTATAACACCCCTAATTGTTACAACAATCTGAAGACTTTTTATTTTCCTTTATAGATGTAAAAACAAGCATAAAATTTGTTTCTAAATGAAAAAATACTTTTATAACTCTTTCCTTTTGTACTTGGCAAATAACATCTCTGATCTATGGGCACCTCTCTTCTGGCCAACATTTCCACTTATAGATTTATTTCATAATTTGTCATTTAATAGTAAGATTTTCACAGAACACTAAAACATAACTTTTTGAAACAGTCATACAATTAGCAATTTCTATACCTAAGCCAACATGAACCTCAATGCAGGAACATCCTAAAACCTTTCTGGAGTAACTGATAACTATGGTTCCGGTGAGACTTAACTACAGCCGACAGGGAATATACAAATTTCAATATCTAAACGAATGATGGTAATTAAATATGTATTTAAAGAGAGCAACACAATTAAGCCAGTTGGAAATAGATTACTGCTCACTTGGTGGGAAACTGGTATCTTGTGTGCCTGGGTAGAGATAAAGGAAACTCTAAATTTCTAAAGGAGACAGGCTTTGTCTTCAAGACAGAACTGTATGGTCCTTGCCAGAAGCTCCACAACTCTTTTAGAAAAGGAAAGAATCAGAGCTTTAATATATTTCTTTTTTTTTCTTTGAGATGGAGTCTCGCTCAGTTACCCAGGCTGGAGTGCAGTGGCACAATCTCGGCTCACTGCAAGATCCGCCTCC